GCCCCTGCAGGTCTTCGGGTCCCAGAGTCGCGGCCGCGCGCTCCAGGCGAGAATCGGGAGGAGGAGCCGCCTGCAGGGATAGGCCCAGGTGGGTGCGGGGTACGGTGGTCGGGGGGCGGGTGCAGTGCCCAGTCAGAGACCTCCCCCAAGTTCTTGTTCCCAGTCCCCAGTCCTCCATTTTGCTGTATGCTGAGCTCTGGGAAGGGAAAAATGGTGGGCTTTGTGGGAGGGAGGGAAAAGGAGCGAGCTGGAGGGTGGGGCTGGAATGGAGGCCCCCTAGAGGCCGCACGAAACTCCTGAGGTGGGGAAAAATGACACTTTAAAAACCTTTGATATCAGGCTCTAAATCCTGCTGGTCAGTGCACCAAACATTCAGTCACTCCTTGCCTTTGTCTTACTTGTGTTCAAAGAAAAACAACCTGGAAAAAAATCTCATCATGGCAGATATCCACCACGAAAACGAGGAAATGGAGCAGCCCATGCAGAATGGAGAGGAAGACCGCCCTTTGGGAGGAGGTGAAGGCCACCAGCCAGCGGGAAATAATAGACGGGGACAGGCCCGCCGACTGGCCCCTAACTTCCGATGGGCCATACCCAATAGGCAGGTCAATGATGGGATGGGCGGAGATGGAGATGATATGGAAATGTTCATGGAGGAGATGAGAGAAATCAGGAGAAAACTTAGGGAGCTGCAATTAAGGAATTGCCTGCGTATCCTTATGGGGGAGCTCTCTAATCACCATGACCATCATGATGAATTTTGCCTTATGCCTTGATTCCTGCCATTTTCTATGAGATTAATACTGTGATTCCCACTGTTGTTTTCTTTTTCCTTGCGTTTTCTGATAGGCCTTTACTGATCTGTTTGCTATGAACCTCATGTAATTTCCATGTGTCGAGTGGGTTCTGTGTTACCAGCTTCTATTTGGAGATTGCCTTGGCACACAGTCTTAAGTTTCTGCCAACAGTAGTTTCACCCATTTGCATGGAAAAATGTAAAGTTAATAAAGCAAATAAAAATCAACCTATACATTTATTGTCTCATTAAACACACACACACACACACATACATATATGGTGGGGCAAAAGTAGGTTTACAGTTGTGAGTACACCAAACACAGTTTATACTTGTGTTATTAATTCTTGTGTTACTTTCCATATGAACAACTATAAACCTACTTTTGCCCCACCTTTTATATAGAAGTTCTCCCCCAAAAATCTGAAATCAAATCCCTCAGGGTGTTAATCAGGGAACATTTCTCTGTGGTTGGCTAGTCTATGACTTTTTCCCTTTAATTATCTGGAGTTTCAGGAGTAATGAAAACAATTTTTTTCAGTGAGTCTTTGAATGTAGTACAGGAACATAATACTGCTTCAACAAACTTAAAGAATGAACTTTAAATATCTCCCAGTCTTAGCTGAAAGATAAACTTTTTTATTACAGATACATTTTTTTAGAGTCAGTTTTATGTAAAATGAGGACTAATGCTTGCCTTACAGGCTGCAGAGTGGAATAAATGAGGTGTACAACTGTGTTGAGCTACTTTCTATGCAACTCCCCAGCATTTAACAGAATCCTGCCCCCATCAGGTGTGGGAATGACTAAAGGGAGCTTTCACCCATGCTCAAGTACAGAGGGCCAAAGTATGTGGGTTCCACCTTGCCAGTTCTCTATTTGCAATACTCTTGCTTCCTTGTGCATTGCCTTATCAGTTGCTGACTCCTGTTGCTGATGTGCAAGAGTCGAGTCGTCAAGGTAGCAAAACCTCACTGATTTTTCTGGAGTCCCTGGTGAGCTAAATCCCCCTTTGACCTCTATAGAAGTTTAAAAAATGCCTTTATCTTCCCTTTATAATTGCTTATCAAGTGAACACCATTCCCATGGTTCTTGGTCTTAATGTTGGTTCTTAACCAAATAACTTTAGGGTTTATTTTTATTTATTTTTAAAAATATATATTTTATTGATTTTTTTACACAGAGAAAGGGAAGAGGGATAGTTAGAAACATCGATGAGAGAGAAACATAGATCAGCTGCCTCCTGCACACCTCCTACTGGTGATGTGCGCGTAACCAAGGTACATGCTCTTGACTGAAATTGAACCTGGGACCTTTCAGTCTGCAGGCCGATACTCTATCCACTGAGCCAAACTGGCTAGGGCTACAGTTTATTTTTATGCCCCTCCTCTTCTTCAAAGAACTCAGACATGAAGGCACTGGGGCCTAGCTCAGGAGACACATCTAGATGTCACCATGGTGTGTCCAAGATGCACTACTTCAGGACACCAAAACAAGCAGGCTAGCCCAGCCAGTGTGGTTCAGTGGTTGAGCATCGACCTATGAACCATTAGGTCATGGTTCCATTCCCAGTCAGGTGAGGGCACATGCCCAGGTTGTGGGCTCAATCCCCAGTGGGGAATGTGCAAGAGGCAGCTGATCAACGATTCTCTCATATCATTGATGTTTCTATATCTCCCTCCTTTCCTCTCTGTAATCGATAAAAAATATATTTAAAAACAAACAAAAGCAAAACAAGCAGGTTAAAAGCTTTGTTTTGCCTGTGTTTCTATCCTTTTTGGGGATTTTCTCAAAAGAGCATCTGGACAGGCCTGCCCAACCAGTTTAACAGACTTACCTGAAGACATGGAAATTATATTAGGGAAACACATTTTAAAGCTGAAACACTCCTTTCCCATTTTTATCCCTACCACACCTGAAACAAACTGCTTTGTAAGTTCTGAAAAACAATACTAAGTTTTTAAGCATTATTATTTTTGCTTGAGTGTGTGCCCTTCTCAAGATAGTGATTAAGTCTTAATCATCCTGGAGCTCAGTTACTAGTGCCTGACATAGAAGATATTTAATTATTAATTATTTTGACTGATAATCAACTATAATGGAGTTCAGGACCCAGCTCAGTACTGTTCCTAACTGTCCTTTATAATTAAGTGGCCTAAGGCAAGTAACTACTAACCTGGAAAGTATTACTTTTCATTTTCAAAGGAACTTGGTAAAAAAATTCTCTAACCCCAAATCCGTAATTTTTTTTAAACCTTGTATGTGTCAGTGTTTACATTAACACAGACCATTTACTTGCTTGGTAATCTCCTAGGGAAAATGTGAAAAATGCTGACACTTCCTATTCTCAACCCCCATGTCACCCCCAATCACCCGATTAGGAATTACTATTTTGACAATTCCTCAGGTGATTTTGATGCATCTGAGTTTTGACAACATAAGCATAGAGAAACACTGACGGTGATTACACCACTTCACAAATATTGTGACTAAATTACCTTATTGGATTCCACAAAGAATATGCTTTTCCAAAATAAAACATTTCTAAGATTGGATTGCATTAAACAGTGTATATATTTAAACCAGTACTGTTTTTTTTTTGGTTTTTTAAAAATATATTTTATTGACTTTTTTTTACAGAGAGGAAGGGAGAGGGATAGAGAGTTAGAAACATCGATGAGAGAGAAACATCGACCAGCTGCCTTCTGCACACTCCCTACTGGGTATGTGCCAGCAACCAAGGTACATGCCCTTGACCGGAATCGAACCTGGGACCCTTGAGTCCACAGGCCAGCGCTCTATCCACTGAGCCAAACTGGTTAGGGCTAAACCAGTTCTGTTTTTATCTTTCCAAATATCCTATCAATGCATGCAGTTATTATTAATATTATTAATCATGAATCTAGTAATAAACTTATGATAATTATAACATTATTAAATAAGTTAGGCATTATCATTTTTATGCAAGTTTGTGCCCTTTTATAACAATTTTTGTCTTAATCATCCTGGAGCTCAGTTTCTAGCACAGTACCTGATATAGTAGGTATTTACTAACATAATAATGCATTTAATTATTCATATTAAAATTTTTAAGTATTGAGTCTTTGAGGGTGGTTAATTTTTACACTCCTGTTTTAAAAGTTTCTGTGAGGAACATTTTAAAATGTAACACTTTTTATAATTATGTAATACGAGGTCATTATTACATATTTGGATTTTCAGAGAATATAAACAATGCCATAATCCAATCATCCAAAGAAAATACTTGTGAACTTTTAATCATCCTACATTTAGTCAAGTTAAGCCAGACTCAGAAACTTTAGAATACTGTGTCTTACAAAGCCCCTGCCAATGAGATACATTTAGCTTATGTTTATTTTATAGTCTATCTTCTGCGCTCATCAAAGCTAATTGGATCACATTTGACCAACTTTCAATTAGCTCCTGTTTTTCAAAACTGAAAACAGTTGTTTTCATTTCAGCAGATCCACCCTCAGTTGGCAAATTTGGGAACATTAAGTGAATAAATTTACTTATAGAACAGGACAATACTATTTATTTTTGAAACTGAAAAGTGCCATGCACAGAAAAAAGACTGGATTACATCAATGACATGATCACTGAGCAGGAAGCCTGTAGCAGGAAACTGTTCATCTTGATGGGTGGTGGAACAAATTTTGGACCTGTTTAGATTGAAATATACTTGGGACATTCAGAAGAGTTCCACTAGAGAAGTGGATAAAAATCTGTAGGGCCAGAGAAGACAACAGTCTGGGCTAGCGATGTGGAATTGGGTATCTTCATCACTATGACTAGTGACAACTGCAGAAGTGGATGGGACCAGCCAAGGAGAACATGGAAACTGAGAGGACATGCAATTTAGGGAAGCAATGTAGCTCAAGCTGTAAGAGTCCAAGGGTTGGAACTTGTCATTTCTAGTTGGCACTAAATCTCTACTCTGTCACTATTCCAAGTAAAATAATACTATAGAATAGTTATAGAAGATTCACATTGAATATAAGAACAGAGAAAGGGTGAACCTAAGAGAATGTTGAAAAGCATATTATACAAATTGCATCTATAAGAAAGCTAGTATTGCTTTTCAAGTATCAGACAAGGTAGAATTCAAGGCAATGGGAACTTATATAAAGGGGGCATTTAATAAAGAAAGAAGATCAATATACCAGAATGGTATAATAACCCTTTATTTATATGCACCTAAATATATAAAGGAAAAATAAAAATCAGAACAAAAGGACAAGTAGAAAATTCCATAATCATAGTCAGAAGGAATAATGTAAGTTTTTGGTAACTAATAGTATCATTAGGAAAATAAGGATATCAAAGATTTTTCTTAATTATTAATACATTTGACCTTGTTCACATATGTAGAACCCAGCAAACAACTATTGAATAACTGGGGAGATATAAGTTAAAAAATTTCTAGAGCTTCCACAGATGGGAAATTATTCAGTTGTCATCAAATTGCAGAGTCCTCCTTGAACACTGGGGGCATTCATTAGAACCTTCAGAGGAAAATATTTTAGTATTAGTAATAAAATAACCCTAGAGTAAACATGCCTGATAAAGTTTAAAGATAAGCCTCAAAAGAGTTAAATGATCTGCCCGCCAGAATTAAATCTAGCACCCTTTAACAGAAAAATAGATTGTGCCGAGCCAGCTCAGCCAAGGGTTCACAAGCCTGAGGGAGGTCGGAAAAAGATGAAGAAAAGACAGACAAAGAGAATAAGCTGGGTCTAGGTGGATCTTCCTGTGCCTGGCTGAGGCCCCAGAGAGAGATCCAGAGGCAAGCTGAGCCTTTATTTTATAGCCAGAGGTAAACAAGGTAGTGGTCACCATAGTTATAATGTTCTTGTGAGTTTCACTTGTTTTGGCAGCACTTGCTGCACCTCCCACAGCCCATTAGCTACCTAGGAAGGATCTAGGGAGCGTCATAAGGTCAAGCCTAATTATGCTAAGAGGGCTGTGCTCTCTAAGCTGGGACTTTTTTGTGGCTTTTCCAACAGGTCAGTCCGAGCTTAACCCTATAGCCGCTCCCTACAATATATAATCCAGATACTCAATTACACAAAATCCACAATGTTCAGTCTCTAATAAAAAAATTACTAGTAATACAAAAATGGTAGAAACGTGACCAATAATCACAAGGGGAAAAAACAGTCAAAAGAAACAGATCCACAGATTACAGCAATGGTGAGATAAGCATTCAAA